TTGCCACGCCACTCTTATATCGCGGTGAATTGAGTAGGAATGGTTTTCCGGAAGGATAAAAGAGCGTAAACAACAGCAAATTATACTAATTGCAAATGTAATTTTTGCTTTTTCATCAAATTGAAATTTACTGATCAATTGGGAAAATAAATTATTTTGAAAAATATTTTTTCTTTTTAAATCTTTTTTAAATCTTAAATTTTTTTCTAATTTGAAACCATTTTGAGAATAAATTCAACATACATTTAGCATTATTTTATCATTATTATTATCATTTATTATTATTTTTTATTATTATCAGTAAGAAAGAAAAATTGCTATACGAACATTTTGAGATTTGAAATAAATTTCGCAAAATTAAAATTTAATTTTAATTTTATTTCTTCAGAATAAATCCCAGTGATATTTTTGGCAACAAATATAAGTTAATAAGAAATATTTTAATAAGAAATTACGGAAGTAAAATTTTAGGAATGCAAATGGCAGAAAAGTTATCGGTCAATCTTTTTTCTCTAAATTTTAATTGATTTCACTGCAGAAATTAAATTGTTGACAAAATCGTTCTTATTTTCTTGTTTTCTACTTTAAATTTAACAACGATTAAATTCTACAACTTTAATATTTTCTAACTTTTAATAATTTAAAACTGAAAACACTTCTTAGACGAATTATATATTGGAGTGAATTAATGAATTGATTAATCTGAGATTAATTTTAAACATTTGAAATTCGATTGAAATGAATGATATAACGAAGAAGCCATTTCCACCATTCGTTCGTTCTTTTTCCTTTTTCGAATAAATGAAATGAAATGATACGATCAATTTAAATATTAAAAAGGCACAATTTAATGGATGGAAAACTTTTTTCATCAAATTTGATATTCTTTCTTCTTTCTTTCTAACATATAAAAGCCATGTGGCATAAAATACTTATTTAAATTCTAGAAATGACGGAATTATTTTGAATTTTTAATCTATTCTTGACTTATGTTCAACTATTCCTAAACAATTGGTGGCAGTCTTATTTAGGTGCAAAAAAGGTCAATTAGTACCTTTCATAAATTAAATACAATATGCAAATTGCAAAAGTTAATCTCTCTCATAATATTTACTTCTTATAATCACCGGTTTTTATTCGATCATGCAAAAAATACGGAATAACTGATGAAATTTTATGAATTTTTCGTTTGGGTAAATTTTTTCAATGCCAAAATTTTCTTTTCCATTAAATTATGTAACGCAAAAAATGCGACAAAATGCTGAATTATGAAACAAATTATGATTATGAATGATTATGATCATGATTATGATGCCAAATTATGAAAGAAAATTCGGTCGGAAAATTAGAGTTTTAGCAAAATTTGTTAATTTAAAAATTTTTCATTCAATTGAAGTTCGTAACGAAAGAGAAATTGCGTTATAATCGTATCGGAACATTTTTCAATCGTATCTTCGCTGCTTTCCATTACAATTACTGTAAAAGATGAAAATAATCAGTGAAAAAATCCAAGAATATCTAATAATTTGAACAAAATTTCGTATACAAATATAAATTGATTAAGTGTTTGCACATAAATATGAATTTAAGTTAATATATAAATATATACATATTTGAGTATTTGTGTATACAAATGAATTTGAGTTAATGTTTGATTGATTTACTATCATTATAAAAGCAAAACTAATGTGATGGATAATCAAGTTCTATTAATAAATTGGTAAAAATAAATGGTAATATTTTGATGAAACAATTATTATTTCATTAATATTATTATTATTATTTGTTAGCAATTTTATTTTCATTCATTTTCTTTTTTTCTTCTTTGAAAAATAAAAATTGCTAACTCGTATACGTTAAATAATGTATGAAATTTATTGTTGATTGAAGTATTGTATAATAAAATATTCATAATAAATTCAAAAAGTAACATTTAAAAATTGTCTTTTTGGATTGGTCGAATAATTTGATGAATTTGAAAAAAAGAAATTCCAATTGCTTAGTGTTAAAATTACCGCATTACTGATTTCAAAGAATTTATTCATCAGTTAGAAAATGTTCGATACCATACTTTACTATACGTGCTATTGTAGTATCGGATCAATAATGTAAAACATTAATTGAACTTTGAAAAAAAATTCTTTTTCATTAGCCTTTTTGTTTTTGAAAAAAATTGTTTTAATTCAAACTTTTTCTTTGCTACAACAACGAATAGTTTTCAATGTTTGTTGAAGTCACTGATAACTTTAAGATATCTTCGATAATATTTTTAAGATTAATTAGTATTATTTCTCTTATAGCAATTTATAATTTATTTGGTAGTATTATTGTAAAGAAATCTAATTCTAAACATTCTATTTCATTTCAACAATCATTAAATGAAATATTATCGATTTATTTTATAAGCACTTCAGATATTATGAATATATGTTTTCAGGTTTGAAAAGAATAAACAGAAATTCATTTAATATTTCGGAAAAAAATAAATAAGTACTTTAATTATGCTTATTATTTATCCAATTGAAGCGTATGAATGTGATATTCATTTCTGATAATATCCTATTTTTGATGAAATAATGCAAAACAAAAAATAATCTTTTCATTTCAATAATAGCATTTTAGCATTTCATCGCAATTACTGAAACTAATTTAGGTGGGAAAGAAAAATAAATGAAATTTGAATTGAAACGATTTAATAGCAATTGTTGTTAATTCTGCTAATTTTCTCTATCAAGCATATTTTTCATCATTTTATTTTTTGCATTTTACTAAAAAAAGAATTATAATATTTTCGAATTTAAACTATAATTCGGTGCTAACAGATATTAGCATTTTATTCCATATCCATTTCATCATGCCGTAATTCACTATTTAATAATTCATCATTATTCATGTAAGTTTTTCCTGAAATTATCGATATATCTTTATCGATTATGCTACTGTAACGATACAAATACCTTTTTATGTAGTATAGTATAATGTTAAAAATTAGAAAAATTTCTGTCTCACATATTCAATATTCAATGAAAAAAGTTTTTTCATTTGTATCAAAATGAAAATCTCACCTGTATTAACCTTTATTATTATGATTTACTTGTTTTATCGTGATTATCATGATTGAATGCTTTATCATGTTTATCAAAATTCACTCTTTTATGTTAAAATATTAACATTAACAGTTCTGCTATGGTTCCATTCACTTTTATTTACAAGAAAATTTCAAAAATTAAAAAAAATATTTATTCAATAAGTTATCATCTATCGATTGAGATAATATTATGGTGAGGAAGAATGATAGTAAAAGAGAGGAAAAAGAAGGAAAGGAGAGAAAAAGGGAGAGAGAGAGAGAGAAAAAAGCGGATTTTTTTAATAATTTGAGATGATTTAATGCGATATTACTTACATCAAATACTATCGTACCCCAATTATTTCCAGCATTTCTTTTTTAAGAAGCAAAAAATGAAATTTCAGATTTAAAATATAATTCGAAATAATTTTTCTTTTTATCTTTTCCTTTCTTTATCTTATTCTTTCTATCTCTCTTTTTGTAATATATATTACTTTGTTATGCAAATATTTAATTGCAAATTTAGTAAATTTTAGTATTTCGTTCCCTTCTTTTCTTAATTCACCATCTATTTCTCCTTTTCTTCTCTCTCTCTCTCTCTGTTCTTTTTCTACTTAAATCTTCATTTGTAACTTTCTACTATTTCTTTCTTTTCTATTAATTTACTTACTACGATAATATGCTATAAATAATATTTGCTGTTAATGATAATGAGAGAATATAAAAAATGATTGCAAATTTTTACTAATTCAATAATTTCAGATAAGAAGATAGAAAATAGCTTTAAAAAGAACAGAATTGGATTAAATGAAATTTAAAGGCTTGTTTATGAGGCCTATAAAGGCATTTTATTCATTATTAAGAGGATAGAAGATAGTTTAAATAAGGAAAATTAAATTAAACGAAATTTAAAAGGCTATTTATGAGGCCTATGAAATAAAAGGCATATATAATAGTTAGTTATTGTGAGCTGCGTGTTATCTCTTTTGTTCGCAAAAGAAAATTCTCTCTCAATTCTTTTTTAAACAAAGAGAAAGAGAATGGAACAATGGAAATTTTTATTATTCGAAAAATATATATAAGATAATATGGCTTTGAAGTTTAGTATGATTTAATTTTACCATTGGTTAGATGTATGTCCATGTATGTGTGTGTATGTGTGTATGTGTATGCGTGTGTGTATGTGTGTGTATGTGTGTATGTGTACATATGTATGTGTGTGTATAAAGAAATTAAATATCCAATGGATTTTTTAAATTTGAAACTTTTTAATTGTATTATTTTTATTAGGCTTAATCAATTTTGCAATAGTATTTTGTATGAAAAAAATTTCCGATAGTTCGATTCAATTTCCGATTTCCTTATTGCTTATTAAATTATCTCTCATATCAATCAGTGAATGATAAAAACGAAATTTGTCAATAAAATTGAATAACACATTGGTAATTTAATAAATTTCAATTAAAAGTCTTTTTTGTTAAGAAATTTAAAATTTTTATTTTTATAAAATATTTGAAAGAAACTCTTTTGTTATAGTTAATTAATTACTTATATTATAGCGTTAGGGTAAAAGAAGAAAAAATGAAATATTTTTAGGAATAAATTTTTATATTAATTTCTTACCTTAAAATCAAAAATATTTTTATTATTTAAACATTTCAATTTCTTATTTATAAATTGAATGATAGAGATTCTGATATATATTTATTGTATAAATTTAAAATGTTAATTATTTAAAGAAATATAAACTTTTCATTATAATATTTTTACCATTTAAATATATTAATTTCTTTCATTATATGTTGAAATATAGGAATTATTGATTTTTTGTCTCTTTTAATTTCTATTAGATAATTCTATGAGCAATTACTTAAAAAAATATTTATGTAAACTTATATTTGTGTTAATTTTTTTCGAAAAATTTCAGTCAGTGATGAGTAATTGGACAGTTGGACAGGTATCGTTGTATACAATTTGCATTCCAATCATTTTTGTTTTATGTGTTTTGGCAGCTTTTTGTAATATATTGGTGCTACTAGCACGATTTCAAATAAAAAATCGAAATGGAGCCTTAGAATTAACATTCTCTTTGGCCTTATCGGATATTTGGACATCAATCGTTGTTGTTGCATCGTTATTTCTCAACTCATATATGCCTGTTGTTTTGGGTATAAACTATACATCTTTATGCTTTTCACTTACCTTAGAGGTAATAAACATTTCTTATCTTTTTATTTCATTTAATTTCTAATTCAAAAAAAATTTGTAAAATATTAGAAATAAATTAATTATTTCAAACAAAGGAAAAAAAGAAAAATTTTCTTTTGATAATTTATAAGAATATAGTTAGTAATTCAACAAAGTGGAAATTTATCGTTTTTTTCTTCTAATAATTATTGCATAATTTTATATGTGTGAAATTTTCTCGCACTTTCATTTTGCTCATATTCTTTCCATATTAAGAATACCATAGAATCGCTATATTATTTAATTAATTAAACTTAAAAAATCAAATTTATTTTGACGGCAGCTAAGTAGATAATAGATATTTCTATTTCCACATGAATTAATTTATAAGTTTTGTGACACTTTAGCATACAATTTTTTCGAATGAATGAAAAGTAAGAAAATGAAATATGAAATGCTCAATGGGAAATAATTCTGCTTGTTAGATTTACTATTTATATATATTATAATTAATCCGATATTTAGTGACAATTGCGCCCAATACATAAGACAGCATTTCTCATTCAATCATTTGAAAACTTATTGATGAGAATAATTACTCAAAAATAAAAAGAAGAATTAAAAGTAGGAATTATCAGAATAGGAAATTTATATACAAATTAAAAGATTTCAATTCTGTTCGAAATAAAAACAAACAATAAAGATCGATAAAAGATAATTTTAATCATTCCTGTTGATTTACTAAATTCCCGAATCATTATATTATCGAAAATTATATTATCTGTTGTTGCATTGCATTGATCAATGAATGTTACAAATTTATCTTTTTAGGCATTTCGAACAGGTGGACTATTAACCGGTCTTCTTCACCTGTCCACTTTAGCAGTTTTTCATTTGCTATCTATCACACGTCCGTTCGATCATGACAAATTGTTAAATCAACATAAGACTCGACTGATAGTTATTCTAATATGGTTTTTACCACCATCACTTCTTTTATTGTACTTTTCCGCTTGGCCTAATCAAGGATTTCGAGTTAAAGATTGTTTGGTGGTCGAATTTTATGACATCCTTTACTTTCGAATGATAATTTCAGTTCTGATTATCTCACTTATGCTGTGCACCGGACTGATGTATTGGATGTTGCTTGAGAAGCTAAATGAAGTTTGCTCAAATTTAATTTATTCATTTAGAAAGTTTTTCGCAAATCACACTGAACTTTTTATTTATCAATTTTTCAAATTTAAAACAATCAAATTACACAATTTATTTGTACGGCGATTCTATTCAAATTTCACAGTTCAATGCAGAAAATAGCATTATTTTCAATACTATTTGGAAATTATATTTTTTTGAAACATCTTCTTCAAGTTCATATAACATTTTAATAAAATGAAAAAGCAACATGAAAATTTTTATTCTTTCAAATTAATGATAAAATTACGACAAAATTTTCATTTCATAATCAATCAATTACTAATTTTAAAAATCCTCAAGTTTAAATCAGTCTTAATTATTTTTGCAAAATGCAATTCATAAAAAAATCTTATAATTAATTGAGCATTTGTTTTAGTCTTTTGCAAAGTCTACAATAACACGTAAGCGTCGCGTAGTTGTAGCATCAGGCCTTATTTTTGGAACATTCGTCATAGGCTGGTTGCCAGCATCGTTACTTTATATATTTACCGCGAAAGGCATGCCACTTCATCGTGTCAGAAGTATTTGGTTGAATATATTTGCTCTAACGACATTAATCCTAATTATGATCAAATCAATCACCAATCCGATTATTTATGCAGCAAGGTGTATTTTGATGTAATTTAAAAATTTTTTTCTTCGTTAAGAACAAAACAGTAATTATAGCGAATTGTATTAAATTCATAGATTCATATAATTACATATAATTACAACAAAGTTGAAAGATTTTTCAGATTTCTAAATTTTTTGAATGTTAGATAAGCAGTTAAGAAGAAAATTGCAATTGCTAATGAAAGAGTTTGAACATTTTAAATTGTTTTAAAATTTATTTAATCACTGAGATTACCAATGAAAATAAAATTTTTTCTCACGCCAATATTATTCATTTATCGTTTTTCAGAATTCCAGAAATTCGGCATTTAATTGATGAATGGCAAAATTATATTGGAATCAGCAAGAATAAGGATGAAAATGATAAAAGGAATTGCCAAGAACATGAAACATCATTTTGAAAATTGAAAAGATTAGAACCGAAATGTTAAACTAGATTTAAAATGAATGATTAAATCCTGATATAAGTCATCGTGTCTGTTCATTTGAATGGACAATGAATCTATTTATTATCGTATTTTGCTTGCAAGAAAAAATGTGATTCTACTTAAAGGAATAAAAGAATGCAAACGGATATCGAAGCATTCGATTAATTTATCAATTATTATTATTATTAGTTTCTCTGAAATTATGGTATTACTTAGAATAATAACAAAATTCTTCGGTTGGAAAGACTTTGTTCAGATTTAGGCAATATTTACAAATTTGAGTGAATAAAAATAATTTCTTATTTGAAAGTCGAATTTATTGCATTTCAATATTTTTAGATAATACAGCAAAAGAAATCACTTTTTATTAGTCGAAACCTAAAATTCGCATACAAAAAATCGTTGAAAATGTTTGATTTCTTTGAAAGCTTTCATTTAAAATATCGAAAATTAAAAAATATATGAAAGATTTCAGCATTATTGCAAAATTGAAATTCGTATTTGCAAAAAATTGTTATTTGAAGAACTTATTTCAGTTGTCTTCATAAAATGAATTTTGCAAATTGGAATTTCAACACTAAAAATAACAGTATTTGAAAGTTACAACAAAAATACTTTTATAATAAATCGATTTCAATTATCGTTTGAAAATTAATACAATTTGTTGAAAACGTTGAATGTAAGGAAAAAATTAGTTTAAATTGTTGGAAATGAAATGACTCAGTGAATTTTCAAACAATCAATTTATAAAGCTTTTTGTAATTAATATAAATTAAAAAATTTTCCTTTTGTTCTTTTTTTATCAAACAAAAGTAAAATCCAAAAAATTGGAAAAATGTTTTTCTTTTTGAATTTTGAATACAATTATAATTCTTTTGTTTTATTGGAGAACTTTTAGGTTTTTAAATGTTTAAAATGATAAAATAATTTATTCAAATGCAAATTTTGGACGTTTTTCTGAATTTTTAAAATTTAAAATCTTGATTAATTCTATAAAAATGATAAAGCAATGGTATTATTATTATTTATAGTTAAACTCAAAGTAGTCGTTTGGTTGCCTTTATTAGCATAGAAATTGATGGCAAAGAAATCTTCCAAGGGAATTCCTTCAGGTTCAATTATCTTGCATATGCATTTAATGTAAAAAAATTTCGCCTCTACGCTTATGTATTGCCATTTCACAAAATTTTATAAAATTTATGGGAACATTTTAATATTAATTTTATTCGAATACCATAAAGAATTCGATTATAACATCATCATACAGGATATTGCAATATCAGCGCTGTCATAATTACTTCTTCGGCTAGATATTATAATTTCCTAATGAAATGATTAAATGAGATGATTGGGAACAAATAAATTTCAGAAAAGGGAATCAAAAAAAGTGGAGGAGAAGATATACCGAAAGGTTTAGAGGATGAAGAATACTTCCATGGCTTATTACCGCGTGAAGATTGCAGCGAAATTTTAACCAAAGTTTAAATTAATCTTTCGGATATTAGTGTGTACAAAATGAAGGAAAAGGAATTTTTAATTTTAATTGTTCATCCAATATCATTTAATTTTTCCATTTTTCTTTGTAGTCTACAAGAAAGAAAAGTGATATAAATAATACAGGTTGGAGATTTTCTTGTACGTGTATCACAACCACGACCAACTGATCCACGTGAAGTAATCATATCAGTACGCGTATCAAAAGAACAATCAGCACAATCAGTCCGTTTTTACATTTTTTTTAGCATAAAAATAATTACATCAAAAATTATTACAAAACATTTATAATTAAATTAAGTTCGAATATTATTATTAAAAAAAATATTGTTTTAATTAATTATCGATTCAAATAAATTAAATAAATCAAATATATGTTAAGGAAGGAATGATAGATAAATTTTTCATTTAGATCCGACATGTAATTGTTAAGAAGCAAAAGCTTCCAAACGGTGAAATTGTATGGATTGCAATTGAAGCGATCAAATTTACCTCATTCTTTGAATTAATTGAACATTACCTAAAAAAAGGCGATCCAATTAATCCTGAAGTATGGCTTTTTCTGAATGAAAACAAAATTAAATTGCAAAATGTTTCAATAATTATTCAAAAAAATTTCAACAATTTTATTGATAAATTGATTAAATGGAATTCAATGTTATCAAATATATGTTATCGATTTCTATCTTTGTTTAAATTTTTAATAATAAAATTAAAATAATTATAACTTAGATGAATTAATTCTACATCACATTTAAGTAATTTAGTTCAAGTGATTTACTTTATTTAATTAGCTATTATTTTTTCTTCCTTACAAATTATTCGAATTATTTTCAAAAAATTTAGAAAATTGTTGAAATTTCATGACGTCATTGTTACTTAATTAATAGATAACTAATTAATAGATATTAATAGATAATTTACAAATCATTTCAATTTCTGCTATTTATGTTTTATAAAAATGCTTCAATTTTTCTATTCACACAAATAATTTTGAAATTTTTGAGAGACAAATTTTGTGATTAAAAAAACAATTGCAAAAATAAAGAAATAATTAAAGCAATTTTGAATACATTTGTTAATTAACAGAAATTAATTTAATTTTCTGAAAACTTTTCATATTATACAGCATGAAAATAGTGTACTGATCAAAGCAGTTAAGCGACAACCATGGGAATTTAGTCATGATGATATTACGCTTAAAGAAATGCTTGGCTCTGGCGCATTTGGTGAAGTGCGGTCAGGTGAACTGATCATTAACAAGAAAAAAACTGAGTGTGCTGTGAAAATTGTTAGTATATTAGAGAAATACATTCATATCCGAATTTCAGATACGAAGAAATTAGATCCGACCATACGTAACTAATAGTTCTTACGAAATTAAATTTAAAGTATTGTTTTCTAAAATATACTTTATTATTTATTAATTATTTTTCCTTTCATATCTTTTTTTGCAATAAAATTAGGCTAAAATTACGATAACGGAAGCACAAATGGCACTTCGAAAGGAGAAAATTAAGGAAATGATGCATGAGGCACGTTTGATGCGTCATTACGATCACGATAATATTGTTCGCATTTATGGCGTTGCGGTAGATCGTGAACCATTGATGATTGTGATCGAATTGGTAACGAGCATTTTATTCATTTAAAAGTTTAATTTCATAAATTAACAGCTATTATGCTTCATGAAATAACTTCAGAAAAGAATTAAAATTTTAATACAAAAATTAAAAGCAAATAAAAAATAAAAAGAATTTAGAAATGGCATTAATGAATTTAAAATCTCTTATAATTTGGGAATTTGATTTTTTGCTAATTTTTTAATTATAATTGCAGATTAAAGGTGGATGCCTGTCGGAAGATCTAAAACACCGCAAAGGAAATATTTCAAATGGTGAGAAAGTGGAAAAAATGTGCCTCGGTGCAGCTCATGGTTTGCAATATTTGCATTCAAAGAAATGCATTCATCGCGATATAGCCGCCCGAAACATTTTATACACTAAGGATAAAGTGGTCTGTCTCATAATGTTACTCTTTTTCTTCTTAAACTATTAAAAATTTCATTATTTTTGTTGCACATATTTAATTATCAATTCATATTTTATATTTAATTAATAATTCATATTTTAATATTTAATTATAAATTCATATCTTTAATTATAGGACGAAAATGAAAAAAGAAAAAACACATGAAGTAATGTGAAATTATATAGGAAGAAATTTTTGCAGGCTAAAATAAGTGATTTTGGGATGTCACGCGAGGGAATAATTTATAAGATGAAAACATCAAAGAAAGTACCGATCAAGTGGACAGCCCCTGAAACTATTGCTACATTTGTTTATAGTTTGCAAACAGATGTTTATTCATTTAGCATAACAGTATGTGAAGTATTCAACGATGGCGAAGAACCGTACAAAGGATTAAAAAATTCAGAAGTCAAGAAAATGGTTATAGCATTATTAATTTCACATTTGTTAATTAAAATTATAATATGTATTGCGGAAAAAAAAATGTTCATCAAATAATTTAGGTATTACGCGGAGAAAGAATGGAAATACCGGAAGCACCCGAGGGTATATCAACTTTAATTAAGCATTGCTGGGATCAGAATCCATCATCTCGATGGACAATGACCGATGTAATTTTGATTTCATCATAAGTTTATAATTATCAGAAATTATTGTTAAAATATGGTATTAAAAAAAATTGAACTTTTAAAAAAAGAAAAAGGAAAGATTTTTAAAAGTTTTAAATTGACTTAATTAATTCGGCTTTTATATTTGGCTTAAATTAATTAACTTTCTTTGTTTAACTTAATTAATTAGGCCTTTTTAAATTGACCTAATTAGGACGCCAACAGCTTTCAGATATAAAAAATGGAAATTATGATTGTTGTGGGCTTCCTTAACATTTGTATTTGCCTTTGCTGAGTCTCAAATATTCTTTAAGGCAGTGAAAAAATTGGAAAAAATAGCCAAACAGATTAGCCAGCAAGGAACGGAGAATGTAGGCGTAACCGGATTGAATTCAGGCAAGGACATGAGCCTCTCAAAAAACACTAATGTTTCCAACAAGAAAAATGATTCCTTGAAAAGTATTCTGGACAGTCCGGTAGCGCAAAAGTCGGTAAGCATTCACTGCTACTATAGTTTACCAATAAAAAATCAATTGATTAAATTGAAATAATTAAGTAATACAATCTATCTAAACTTCCTAGTTTAATTATTCGATATCAATCATTGAGCATATCATTGATTAATTTTGATAAAAATTTGATAGATTTATCAAAGGAAAGTTACACTCGAAAAACAAAAAATTTTATTGTTGTTGACAGTTTACTTCAATTTTTAGATCAAAGGATTGCAAATATCGAAAGGAATTAAGAAAAAGAATAAATGATATCATTTTGTTTCTAATTTATATGTGCTCGTCAATCTTCTTTTTAGTATTTAATTTTAAACTTTCTAAGTTTAATTATTCGATATGGTATTGTGTCAATTGTAAATTGTTAATTTCATATAATTAATCGATGGAATCAATTTTAAAATATTACGAGCTAAAATAAATATTTACAAACATTCTGATAATATGCTAAATTTATTTAATTTTCCTGTTGTTTAGCAAGAAAAAGAGAACATGGCAAAAGATAACAATAAAAAATTAAATAAAGAAAAAAAGAGATTTGATTTAAAAAATTTAATTTTATATTTGAATAAATTGAAGTGAATTGAAATGTTTGAAAATAGTTGAGGGAAATGAAAAATTGAAATTATTTTAACATAAATCAACAATTTTTATATAAAATATTTTTTAGCATTTTAAGAAATCAATCATTTTAATTAATCGATAACGTCATTATATGTTTGAGTGTTAAAATTTCGGAATAGAAACTGATATAGTTGACAATTAAAATCAAAATTTATTGAATTAACAAATATAAACCAAATTTTTCAAAAATAGTTTATTTCAATTTATTTAATCCATGTGATATGAAAAAAGAAAATACATCAAAAACATTATAAAAGAAAAAAAACTGAGGTCAAAGGTGATTTAGTGACGTATAATTCCGTAAAGCCTATCGAACATTTCTTTTAAGAAAGGAAAAAAACGCATACACACATATACACACACAGAACACAAATTCGCTATGCCTTGTAAAGTGACACGTTGATTTTCCGGCTGGAAACAATAGCAAAAAAAGAAGTTGAGGTCAAATGTCAAAGCGAGCAAATTTCTTTTTCGAGCAAAAGAGAGGTAATTAAACAGTATGTATAACCAAAGGATAATTTTCATTTTTCCCTAGCAACAATTAAAATTTTTTTCAAATAAAAGATTTTTTTGCTTTTTTCGAAATTCTTGAATTATGTTATTCCTCGATGTAGCATACAGTTTTCTGGAATAATATACCGGATCTTCGATGAAGTATACGATTTTCTGGAACAAAATACCGGACTTTGCACAAAAACGAAACGGAATAAGAAGGAAAAAAAGAAAAGAGAATATTAATAAATAAAAATATCTAAACTATTTGATGAATTACCTTCTTGCTATAAATTTTTCATAATAAAGATAGCAGTAATATATAAATAATAGTGATGGATATGAAATATTGATTAATTCCTTTCTTATTTTTTTATTTCTCCAAAAGAAAAATCACTAAAAGATCATCGTTGAATAACGGTAGCATTTTTAGCTGCATGTAACGCTTTAAGTTGTTCCAATTCTTGATTTAAACGATTCATCTCTCGTCGAAGTTCATCATTTTCTGCTTCCAATTGTTGAGCTCGTTTACTACGATATTCAAATTGAGCTCGACGATTTGCACGACATCGTTTTGCTGCTTCATTGTTACGCCGTCGACGATCCATATATTGTTGCTGCAATATTTTCAGCAACATTGAAAACTTGAATATATACATATAATGAATAGGTTATCAATTTTAAATTAGTTTCAGTAATTTCAACATTAATAAGGATGAATGATGCCAATATTGCATTGCTTCTATTGCCCAATTTTACCTTGCTAGATGGTCGTGAGCGTAATGCTTTGACAATTGCGGAATGTTTCAATGTTGGAGGACTTAGTTGTGATTTCATTGAATCGGTTGTACTATTGTTACTGGTTGGTGATTCCATACTATCACTGCTATCACTTTTTGTTGTTGAAGTGCGGGAGCACATTACGCCAGGCTTAGATGATGTTTCATCTAATGATATAGTTCCTGGTACCGTTAAGGCGGTACTCAAATTTACTGCCAAACTACTCAAACAGTTTTTCAAATCATTCTGCAAATAAATTATTTATTTCCTAAATTAAATTTTAAAATGAAACATTGTCTTTTTGAAATTATGCAATTTTTTCCTTAATCTTAAATTTTAATTTTACAATTATGCGTTTTGCACAATTTCAGTTGCAGATTACAAATAACAGCAGCAACAATCAAAGCTATGGAGAATGCCATTATTCGTTTTCTGGGGAGTGCTACAGAAGCATTCAAATGTAATGCCAAATTAATTGAACTTTTCAAATTGATTATAAAATTTTAAATTAATGCTATATTTTGAGAAATCATTTAATTTACTCGTCTTTTAACATCAATCTTAAGTAAAAAATGAAAACTATGCTTATGTTGTTTTGTGTTGTAATAATGCAATTCTAATAAATTTAAATTATGATGTATAAAAAAATTATTGCAGTAACTTTTGAAATATTAATTACAAAAAATTTCATGTTTTGGATTTAGTTTACATCTTTGGGTGATGTGTTGTTGAGACCGGAATGAGTATCGGTTCGACTTTGTGCAACCAGCGGTGAAGTCCGTTTAGTGGAAAGTAACGAGCCAAGCAATGATCGCGGTTTATCATCCGGATCGCTTTCTCGAGCTTTATCTGAAGAGGATGATGATTGCGCTAAAGCATCATTCGATATTTGCTGTTCCATTCGTGTCTCTGCTGATAAATCCGGTTGTCGTTCCAATAATTGATGTCGTAAAATATGTAATGGATCGGAGGGCGTTTCTACAAAACGTTGAGTAACTGATGGATTGTGAGATATATTCCTAAACCATAGCTCGTCTGCATTGTGAAATAAGCAACCTGTATGAATAGTACCATGCATTGAATAATCTACTGGTGTAGCATCAGTTGTTGATGAATCCGGACTGTAACTTTGCGTGGAACTTGTTGGATCCCGTGAACTATGAAACGGTTGAAATGCACCATGTCCAGAAGAAATTGTCGCTGGCCCGGATGATGAGCAGTAATTCTAAAATATTTTTTTCCATTATTAAAGAAATAAGCCTACTGTCTCTTTTAAAAAAACCCAAACCTTCTGTCAAATGTATTAAATGTTACGCTTACACACATTTACGTTATCTCCGGCAAATTTATATTGAAGATGTTACTTTTAAAAATGAAAATACTGAATTATCTACCTGTTGTACTTGTTGTAGTGCAGCTTGAAGAGAGCATATTTGTAATGCTGGAAATTGCTGTACCGTAGATACATGTGATCCAGCATTAACATTTGCAGGTGCCAAAAGTGATGTTGAAGCAGTTCCGGATTGTGGAAAAATTGGTGAAGGAGCAGAACCGGGTGATGCAGCAAGTAAAGGAGTAGCAGCAAATAAATGTGTTGGAAACATTGCTGGTAACTTTGATGGTGGTCCAATAACATTTGCCAAATTAGCTGCAAGTGTTGTTACCGATGAAACCGGTAATGATGGTACCGTTGGTATCACTGCACCGATTGTATCTTTAATTTGTGCTGTTGATACAATAACAGTGTCATGCGTGGCAGATGTTACCAATCGCAATGTTTGTTCTTCTTGTTCTTGTTGGTGTTGTTGTTGTTGTTGCTGTTGTTGTTGTTGTTGTTGTTGCTGTTGTTGTTGTTGCTGCTGTTGCTGCTGCTGTTGTTGTTGTCGTTGCTGCTGTTGTTGTTGTTTCAACCGACTCCTTAGTAAATTGTTTTCTTTAGTCAGTTCGAGTAACTTCTGTTCCATAATCTAAAATTCAATTCAAATCTATAAATGTTATATTTATTTCGCATCAGTTATATTTTTCGTGCGCTTCACAAATAAAGATGATTGTTCCTATTTTAAATTTTGCAAATACCATATCATTTATACGACGTCTTTCGCGTGATCTTTTTGCGATATCATTGTTATGGCGCCGTTTCTCCCAATATATTCCATCTCGGTTATTTTCGTTTACGGATAGCCTGCTCCAGAATACTTTTTTTTGTTAGAAAATAATCAAAATCTTCGAAATAATCTTTTAAATCTATGTTTTCCTACTAAGTATTTTTTCTCCTTTTTCAGAGAAAAAAATTTCAATTGAATTCTTCGGTTTTTTTTCCGAAATTTGATCAGGCAAGGTAGGAAGAAATTTATGAAATTGACAAACTGCCTGTTTGAATCGATATTGGATGGTGCTGGTGAAACGGATGTTTCGGAGCTGTTCGATGAATCAGATGGTCGTTGTTCTATGTGATTACTAGAACAAATTAGATTCAAGCCTGGTAACGATGAAGATGAGTGTGAACTTGAGCACGATTCAACACCCAAACTGTCCATTACACATCTGCAAAATATTTTTTACCTTTGAACTCTGACTTATTAATTGATTAATCCAATCAAGTGAGTAGATATTATCATTAACGATTAAACAAGCTATTTCATACCGCAAATAACTGAATCCAGTAATTTCACAAATGTACAAATTTGAAAAGCATTATACAAATAATCAGCGAAATAAAATATCATGATTTTCAATCATATTTTAATTTTTTTAGCATGAAATTTTCATAATTGCTGTTAATTTTGTTTTTTTAAATAGTCTTTTACTAATTAATTGCTGTTAAATTTATTAATTTTGTTTATTAATACAATAAATTTTATGAATTGGTTGGCATATTTATATGTTGTTGCTCAATCTGCCGATACATTGTTGACACCCAATTAAATTGTTTCAATATGATAGAAGTACTGCATGGGTGAGAAGTTCCAAATACATTGATTAATTAAAAATCATTCATTCTTATATCACTGTTGATAGACACGCAATAATCTCACGATAACCTATGAAATAACGCTAATAGCGATTTCAACGAAAATATTAATATAGATAATGATAATGATAATTATCTTACCACGATATATAGGATATATGGGAGAGATATTAGAGATATTGGCAATAAGTAAATGTGAAAACGGGCGGATATGATGAAAATAATTATACATATAATCATACTAAAACCGGAAATAATAGTGGTAACGATGATACTAACGTTAATAATAATAATAGTAATGATGATAATAATGACGCCATAACAATGGTTATAATGATAATGAAGTCTAACAAAAACAAGTTTTGAAAATGAAAGTAGAACTGGATACAGTAATGATGCCGTTGGTGGTTGGTAACCAGAAGGAATGAGTAATGATGATTATCAGTGAATTTGATTTGAAAAACGAGATTTTTTATATATGGATGTTTCGATGCATCGGCATTACATCGAATTTGTCCACAAATAATAATAATAACGATAACAACAACCGGTTACGGATTCATAACCGGACGTCAATATAAAAGAAAATGAAGGTTATTTAATTCTATTCATGTGGTTACTGAAATCTTCACCTACTTACTTACTCAAAAATTCACCTTTGCTATTTTGATCCTTTGACCTTTGTTATTTTAAATCTTAAGATAATTCGTTAAATGAATCAAAGGCAAAAAATTAAAGTAATGGAAAATAGATGTTTTTTCCTTTTTTCTTTGTACATATAGGCAACCGTATTTTTATTGAATCTATACGATCACTTGAATTTTTACTAAGAAAAAGAATGAACTTATAAATGATTTAAATTGGGCGAAAAAGATCACACGTAATGATCCCACCGGTTGTCACTATCACTATTGGAATGATAACGAAATACAGTTCAAATTTTCTAAAATTTAGTTATAGTAGCAACATACCATCAGATGTATGACAGCATTCTAAAAATTTTTTCCAGATACTTTTGCCTGATTGATTTTTTAAGCCTGAAATCTTTTTTTGTTATCGAATTAATCAAACAATTTTAGGTTCATCCATTGATTGAATAAATTTTATCAATCTTTGAAAATCGCGATTTCCTTCTTCTTTTCTTTTGACGGAAAAAAGCTTGCCTGCTTTTTATAGAAGTCAATCACAAACGATATATTTGTATTATTTTCACTTTTTATTGCCGGCCATACCGTTTTGCCAGTTTTGTTTTCATCTTCGAAACATCTCCGAAATAGTAGAGCAATACTGAAAAGCAATACTGGCTGCATTTCTTTGAATATTTTCGGAAAATTTATGCTAAGTTCGTTAATTAAGTCACTTAATACATTCTATCATATGCGAGGGTAATGATAAATAACTTGCTTATAGTATTTTGAGAGATATTTTTTATTGCTTTGAATTCTACTACAACTCTATTACAGATGGTAATTCATGGGAAATTCTGATACACACTGTGATTCTGGACAATTCTGATACATACAGTGATTCTGGACAGTTATTATTAATATAGTAATTCTGGACAATTCAGATAAAATGATTACGGACAATTCAACTACATGTTATGATTCTAAGCGATTTTAATATAGGTGATAATTTCGGATTACTACATTGTTGATTTTGGATAATTCTGGAAGATTCTGATACATGTATTGAATGTGAATAGATATGATTGACTTTATTTCAATCCATATCATTCATTTCCACAACTTTCTCCTATCATTCACCAAAATAGAATTATCAAACAATACAGAAAAATTATACTGCTGATAGTTGAAGAAGTGAAAGTATTGGATGATAAGTGGTTAGTTACAAGGTCACTACTTATATGTATTTGTGTTTTTTCTTTCTTTCTTTTTCTTTACACTGTAAATTGTTGTTCTACAACAGACATAATCGCAAAAAAAGAACCCATCCAATGAATTATATCGGTGTTTTAGGGTGAAATGTCTAATATTATTCATTTTGGTTTATGCATAGAATGTAAGAATTAGCCTTGAAAGATAATTGACAACTGATTGAAGGAATGGGAAAGGGAAATGGAAGTACAGAAAATGAAATGAAATGAAATGGACGAATGAATGAATGGGCGAAAGATCCGATGGAAATGAAATTGTTGAAAGGAAAATTTCCATTTCAATCGTAAAAAAAAGACTTTTTAGGATTCATATATAAAAAAAGAAGGAGAAAGAAAGAAATATTTTTCAAGGTAACAATTAATAATTGCAAAGAATATTTCTCAATTCTATAAATTCCCATTTTTTTCTCTTCGTTTCTGAATTTAAATTTAAATAACAGAAAGAATTATTACATATGTGTAAACAAAGCAAAAGTGTAAAGTAATAAAACAGGCAGGAAATTATATTCATATTAAATTACCTGTATAATTTAAGCATATTTATTATTAGTAGCATTTAATTAAAATTATTCATTAATATTGTTAATTTAATTATTTTTCATTGCATTTCCAATTTTACAATATTTTATTATATGTTTCAAATTTTTTAGAAGTATTTCTTTTTTTGTTGTATATTGGAAATGATAAAGATAGCATTTAAATATAGCTATTATCATCAAAAGATTATGTAATGCATTTGTAAAAATTTGCAGTAAATTTCGAATAGAATAATTCAAATTAATTTAGTGAATGAAAAGTAAATTTAAACTAATTGCTTAATTTTGATATACCTTTAAAAGGAATTAAACTTTGTGATTGAGATTTGAAACTAAATTAAATAGGTGTTATATCAATAAATGCATATTTCTATCATTATCATTTTATTCATATCATTTTAATTGTATTTATGAAATTTGCATGTTGCAGTAGTGAGTGCAAGAGAGCAGCGAGAAGTCTAAATTATGTAAACAAAAACTAATTAACTGTCATAAATTAAGCTATATGACAAAGAGAAAGTAATGAGAAATTTTTAAAGAGATCATTTTTTTTGATCAGTTTTGAAAGTCTATTTATTCGTCGTGACTTTGAAAAATTCAACAATGAAAAGATATGGAGTATTTTGCCAATGAAATTCGAGCAATTTGACCTAATAATAAATGTTCTGAAGGAAATCTGACATAGAATTAAATATTTCAAAAATTTAATACAAATGATTTGAATTAGTAAGTCGATGGATGAATAGGATATGAAGAGGTTCAAAAATTGATATGACATGCAGTGTGTGTATGTGTATGTCTGTATGCGTGTGTGTATGTGTGTGTGGTGAACAGGTCAATGGAAGGACAGGCAGGGTCAGGTTCCCGCCTCTGTGACCTTCGTGAGGTCAATGTCGTTAACTGTTACATTATGTATACATCCTGCTTACTATCGACTCAAATTTGCTAGGATTGATTTATGAATGACCACAAATGGCTTCACCTTTTAACTATGAAAAATTCCATACACTTAAATTAGTAAAGCAAAATTTGTAAAGTATGAGAACAAAAGGAGTAAAATAAGGGGGTGGAAATTGGAAGGATAGAGAAAGGAATGAAAAATTGATAAATTAAATTACAAATTTCAAGGAACAAAAAAAGAATGAAGTAAAGTAATGAAAATAATTAAAAGAAAAAAGGGAAATCGATCGATGTGAAAAGTAAATTTGAGTACCATAAAAATCACAATTGACGAAAGCAAACACAAAATCAAAATTATCGAAATTTTGCGAAGAAATTGGAGAGAAAAAAGAGAATTGTCAAAATTTTAATGAATCTGGTAATTGTAAAATGGCAGTGCTAATACTAACTCACTAAGGTCATAGGTCAATTTCAACATCTTCCAATTTAATTTATTTTGCAGCTTTATATTCCACCGTATGTATATTTGTTCATAATTTGAAATTTATAGTGTAGCATTCCCAAACTATGATTTTCTAATTTTTTTCAAATGATTTAACCTTTAATCAGTTTGTGATGTGTTATGAAAAAATTGTGCTTAATATATATTCTTTTTGATGAAATTTGTAAAGTTAGTAACGAATTCTAAAATGAGAACAAAAATTTAAAGGAAAAATGATTAATAAGTTTATCTATGTAAATAAAACTTAGTTTGGGCATTTATTTTCATTTTTAATTTCAAATTATTTCCATTTTAATGTATGGTATAGATTTAAATGAAAAACTCATCTTAATTTAGTGAAAAAGTTACTAAAAGATACGATAGGCTTTAAAAAAAAGGACCAGGCAGCTGTTGCATACATCATTGAATGACATTGCGAGCAATACGATATGACATCTGCGCTCGATACCGATTTTTAAAGAATTTTCAATTTGTTGTAAATGCATTCTGTTTCATTCTGTTCCATTATAATCAATGCTTAATTAAATGTGTCCACTTTTGAACTTCAGTCAAAAATACGACATATAAGATAATTGGTAAGTGACAGTAGGCCAAAGGGTGCTCGGACATGACGTCCAATACGACCTCCAAAAAGGCGCTGACAAATGTCTGATGTACGATATATAAAAAGTTAAGAGATACAAGGAGAGAAACATATCCTCCCATCATGAACCACTGTCACTCGACACGGC